TTTTTTTTTTTTTTTTTTGAAAGATTTTTTTAAAAGTGATTTAACAAATAAAACTGTTAAACATTGCTAAGCTTACTGATTCCAGAAAATGCTAATCAGTGAGATGAATTCTAAATTTGCTTGGGCAAATGGCTGCCACTATAGATTATGAGTCATGCTCACTAGCAGCCTTTCATGTGACGGATAGAAGAGTTCATCAGCTTTAATTAAAGTAGAACCTATTTTCCCTTTTTCTTTGTCGGCAACTCACTCCTTCAATAGTTTCACCGACGGCAAGAAACAACTCTTCGCCTATTCCACCAGCTCATTAAGCTCAAGTTCTTATTCCTGTCCTGGTCGTTTACGACCTTATCCGCACTTCTTGCCGATTAACCTATTCCGACGGTAAAGACTAATGAAACAAAAAGGAGCTGTTCAGTGTCTCAAAGAATAAACAGAAAAATGATAAATAGCAAAAACCTAATATGCTGTAATAGAAATATTGCGACAATAAGAAGAAGAGACAAGTAGACCTTAGAAACAAACTACCAATGTTTCCAATTCTTATGTCGCTTGCCAACATATCTTCATCCCTGATGAGTCGCAAACGTTTTGTGCAACAAGAAAAGCAACAAAAGCTATTGTTATGAGTGTTTTTATGAATACGCCGGAAAAATCAGAGAATGGAAATGAACGAATCGGAAAAAGCATGAATCCAGCAGTTTATAATGAAATGAGAAAGACAACCAATCGGAAACCTAGTAAGCAAGAAAGGCTAATTTTGTAGCCTCCAAACCTTGTCCTCAACGAGCTTCCAAAGTTGCGAAAATAGGTTGAATATTTACGACTGCTTTCCTAACAGAGTGATGAATATATAGTTGTCAGTACTTCATCGACGTTCAAGTGATCAGATTATTTGTTAGATTTTCATAACAGTAACTTCAAGAATTAAGGAAAACCCATTACTCTCTTTTGGAAGCGGTAATTACCATCACAAAAAATCAGACTTAAGACAAAGGTATCCTCTGTTCCCACCTTGCCCCTACTTATTTCCGTTCCTTGTACTGCAACACCTATTCATAAAGAGCACTTACTCCTGCTAACAATAAAAGACTCGACGAAGAAAAATAGGTTGAAACGGTGCTCAAGCAAAGAGAACCCCGCGAGCTGAGGTCTCACCTAAGGCTTTAGCTTAACTTAATACCATTAAGTGAGAAAAATTTAAAATTGTTTTTTCAACACCTCTAATAAACGATAAAAAAAAAAAAAGAAAAAAAAGATCATTCCACCAATCAAATTGCAGTACATTAACAATGAGATTACATCACAACTACCATTTCAATCAAACTGCAACAAACTTAGAAATATGTCGAAATTAATGAAGTATATTACACGTTATAAGCTTACAAAAAGATTACTTGACTAAGACTCAACAACTAAAGCTACCTCTATTCTCAAATTGCGTTGCCCTTTCACATTCTCACGGGACAGCCAGTTAGCGAGAAAATGAGAAGGTTACATTCGGCAACAAAATAAGAGATAACTTTAGTGAAAATTCTCTGATGCTGCCTGAAAAGTTTTTTAATCTTACTTACCCTGTCCACCCGCTGTCGTCCTCACCAAGTCCTTAGGGCTCTGTTTCTTAAGAAGAAACTAGGAAACCTTTCCATGTTTTCAAAAATATATTCACTAACTAAAGCTAAAGAGAAATTCGGGTTCAAACCAATCAAAAGCTACAATTACGACGACGATGAATGAAACTGATAAAAATCCACCAGAAAGAACTGGTAAACTTTTCACCGGCTGTCATCTCTTTGAATTCTTGAAGCCAGTTGAATAAAAACACGAAAAATGAAGATGAAGAGAGCGAGGAAGTGAGCAGAAATTTCAAAGTCCTCTGTAATGGTCGATATACCAATGTGTTGACGAACGCGGTAAGTATAATATAGTTGGTGTTGGTTATTCTCCCGTCAGGTTTTAAAAGGAATAATAAGTGAAAATATGTGAATTTTCGCTACTTGCTTGAAAATTTATTGAGTTATTTGTTTGAGAGTATAAAAAAAAAAACCAGTCGTGATTTCCATACAAAATTACTGCAGTATTGCTAGCAGGTAATGATTCCTCACAATTTATTTAACGCTTTTCGCTCTTAAAAGAACTCTAAATTTACTCGATAAAATTATATTCTTTCTCTATATCCCTCCAGAAGGAAGCACTTTTTATCGATAATGCCGTATAGTGAAAAAAAAAGAATTTGTAAAGGTCTGCTGAATCCTACAACCTCTTAGCCTTGTCGCTTTTAGAAGGTTTATTTCAAGATTGGATATGATAGCAATGGAAGTCGATGTAAAATTTTGTTTATTTATTATTCGCTTCTTTTGCCACTACGTACTGTCTGCCCATATCGGTGACAATTTTTTTTTTTACAATGTAACTGATCTAGTTCAAACTTTCACAATTATTTCAACTTTTTCTCGTTCTATACAAAGCTTCCTAGACTAATTACCAGACATTCAA